AGGCAGGACACATACCTCTAACCTAACCACTCTTCCAATGCAAACTAGATCTCTGCTGGGAGAAGAGAAATTCTCTAAACTCAAAAACAATAACCATGGGGAGAACATGGCAGACAAATAACAGCAGCCACGGAGGCTCTCTGAGATTACCAGCTTAGAATCCAAGAGCAGTGCTGTGTGAGGAGTCCTAAGCAAGGGGAGATGTACCCTGCTGACCCACAAACGAACTAAGCTGAGAGAAACCAACTGGAAATGCAATCCTGATGCTATAACAGGAACAGATAAAATCTCAGTGCAGAAGCTGGATCCTGCACCACTGGAAGCTGTGATTTGAATTTCCTGCTGTCACTACTGCATCCCAAGTGGCATGGCAGGGAGAGAGACGTGTGAAAGCTCTGAGAGCAGGAATCAGCAAACCAAACAGTGTTGAGAGCGGGACTGGCAGGGAGCTCTGCATCCACCTGTGGTGAGAGAAATGGGGACCCTTTCATAGACTAAGAGGCTCCAACAGAGGAAATTCTGGGAATGGGAAGACTAGCCGGAACAGGGCCCTGCAGTGACTTTAGCCACATATTCCCCTCTCAAGTGGGATTGGTGGGGAGTGCTTGGCCTGGTGAGGTGTGGAATAAGACCCAGTAGGCTAGCCCAAATCAGGTCCTTGTGCCTGGCAGTGCACCCTAGCAGTTGATCTGGAGGGATGGGCCCAGCAGAGGCTGCCCAGGTCTGTGTCTCCCTAGTACACTACAGTGGGTGGGAACACCTAGCCGGCGGATTCAAACAAATTGTAACAGACAAAGAGAAAAAAAAAAAAAAAACTGGGCCTCCTACATACGCTTGTATGGAAGGAACAAATAGTATGGGAAAAGGGAGCAACAAGAAAGGGTCCTCAGTCCCCAATCCTGAGAACACTGATCCAGGAAAGGTAAATGCAAAAGAGAATGAAGACAGAAAATATGCAATATCAGACATGGCACCAATAGACATAAAGTGGTATCTCTGGAGCCTCATAGACAAGTTCAAAAATGAAGTATTTAATGAAATAAAGCAAGAAATAAGTAGAATAGTTAGAGAAATACTAAGCACTGCCCAAGAAAAAACAGATGGTGGAATGGAAGAACAGAAAAAAAGGGGAGAATTTTGTGATGGAGAATATAGAGAAAACAGAATACGTGAAGCAGGTTCAATAGAGTTTTAGGAAACTAAAAACTCTGTTGAAATCTGGCATAACAGCTTGAAAGAAACTAAGGATAGATTATCTGAACTAGAGGACAGATTTGTAATGTGGGAGCATGAAATGAAAAACTTCTTAAAAATAACAAGGAAACAAACAGCAATAATACAAAGGCTAGGAGATGATAAGAGGATCTATAACTTAAGAATTAAGAATGTAAAAGAAGAAGCAGGGACACAAACAAATGAACTACAAAGGCTATTCACAGAAATAATCCAAGAGAATTTCCCTAATTTAGCAAAAGGTAAAGATATTCAGATGTATGAGGCATACAAGACCCCAGCCACCTACAACCCAAACAGAGCTACACCCAGGTATATAATAATCAAAATTCCAGAAATCCAATATAAGAGCAGAATATTAAAAGCCATCAGAGACAACAAACAGATCACTTACAAGGGAACACCCATCAAAATTACAGCAGATTTCTTGGCACAAACCATCAAATCACAAAGAGTATGGGGGGAAATAATTCAAGCTTTGAAAGATAATAACCTTCAGCCAAGATTGATATATCCTGCACAACTGTCCCTAGAAATTGATGGAAAAACAAGGTGCTTCCAGGATAAAGAGGAACTAGGGGAATTTGCAACCACCAATTCAACTCTACAGAGATTACTGCAGGATATTCTAAAAATGAAAAATACCAAGATTCCAGAAACAGTGGCAGAGAGGCCACAATGAATGGAGCAGAAAGCAAAATGAAGAAGACAAACTGACAACTAACGACAGAAAAAGAGCTCAACAGAAATGAGGCAGAGAAGGTTGGATGGTAGGAACAGCCATTTTGGAGAAAACAAGACATCATAATAGGTAGTGCTGATTTAATATCCTCTTGTTTTGAAGTCCCATCAAGCTTTTGTTGTTCTGTCTCCATCGGTTTTAACGTGTTGTATCTTATTGGATTTTATTATATGTGATAATATAAACAAAAACTTTTATAGACAAGGAGATTATACAGAAACCATTGTTCATTTTCTGTTAGTTGATTCTAAATAGCCTGTAATACTGTCATTCTCTTGAACGGTTTTACATTGTCTTGATATGTTTGATGCTACAGTATATGAAGTTATACCCAAAGATTTTAAGGGAAGAGACACTATGGTAACTACTTTTATGTCGGGATTATCTTATCGTGAAACACAATTTTCAATGGCTATGTTTTGACCTCCGCTGTTTTGTTGTTATGCCCTCTTTTTTATTTCAATCTTTTTATTATCTACTTTTTCATTTTTATCTTTTTAATTAAGGGAAAAATAAATAAAAAATAGCAGGATATATTATAGTAACCCACTTTGATTTCCTATCTACTTGATTTGAAATCCTGTATTGCTCTCACCATCTTGTTTTGACTGATTTTCCTCTATTCTGTTATGTTTGATAGTACCAAGTTTGAAAGTATAGGCAACAACTATGAAGACAATAAGATTCATTATGACGCCCATTCTGGTTGACTATTATCTTCTTTTGAAGTCCTCTAATGTCTCCAATGTTTTGGTTTTATTGCTCTTATTCTTTACTCTTTTGTTCAATTTTATTATAACTGATGATATAGGCCCTTATTTTTAAGATAACAAGAGGTATTATGGTAACCATTGTTGATCACCTTGTATTTTGTTTTTATATTATGTATTATGTCCGTCCTTTTGATTTGACTGACTCTGTCCTGTTATGTCACATTTGGTTTTACTTTCTTAAAAAAAAAGCAATAAGAACTATGGGAGTAATAAAACCCAAAATGTGTAATTGTCATTGTACAAAAGAAAGGAAAAGAAAGTGCTCTAAAGGATATAATTGCATATATATTTAAGTGTATAAGATAGATAACCATATTACTGAGTTTTGTTGGATCATTGAATAAAACTGTTTGCAGTCTCTCTGTTTGAAAGTCCCCTCTATATGCTTTAATTTTGTAACTTGAACAACTATTTCTAAGATGACAATATGTAATTAACTAGTGATTTCCTACTGTTTATTTTTTCTGAAATTCTGTGTAACTTGTACCCTTTTTCTGTTTTTTTTTCTCCTTAAATAAAATTAAAAACAACAACAACCACGTAAAAAAATCAAGTTTTCCATACACTAGCTTTTGTTAACGAAAGCCAGCCAGACATAGATATTTTAATTACAAGAAGCAAACAAACAGTAAAAAGGATTAGGGTTAGGGTAGTTATTGAAATCACAAAATATATGCTTTAAATGAACATAATTAATACAATTCATAAGATTAGCACAAAACTCCATGGGTGAAATGTACAGCACATTAGTATTTAAGAGAATTAGAGGAGGGAGAGTCAGGGTCCAAGGCTGCATCAGACTCAGGCCTACTCTTCTAGGGCCCACACTCACCATGGCCTGCTCCTCCCTGCACCTGGCTTTCCAAGGGACACTGTGTTATATCCCTGGTGCTCACCTTTTCACCAGCCACTGTTCCTAGAGTTGGGGTGCAGCTCTGAGCAGGGTGTTTATTCCAGGAGTGCCACTGTGTCCCTTGGCAGCATGAACACCAGGCAATTTGTGAGCAACCAAGCCTATTGTTCTGGGTCTTGCTCAGTTTCCCAGTCTGGATATAAATCTGTGATCTTCCTGTCTCAGCCTTCTAAGTGACTGGGATTATAAGTATTTGCCATCACACTAAGGATGGGGTGACTCATCTACTTAAATTTAGTAGCCAATTTCCAGCAGCTTCTTTGGGATGGTGTCCTTGGAACCAGTGGTGCCTGCCTGGAACCACCAGTGTAGAGCCAAACCTGGTGGAGGACAGTAGTGCTCTGTGTTCTGCTAGAGCCAGACAGATGAGCTGTTGCAGTTCTGGTTTCTACAACGTCATCCAGAGAGAAAGAAAGGGAAACTGGCCACTATAGCTAGGAGGGGACTGACCGGGACATGGTGCAGGCAGGGCAGGTGGCATGAGGCAACCAGTGGTGACTAAGGCAAGTGACACCTGCCATAGCACACAGGTGGTTGCCTTTCCTGCCCGCAGGCTCAGGGCATGCTCTGGGAAAATGCTTATGCTACTTGCCAGTACCAGTTTCTCAACTCCAGCAGGTTGGGATGTCACCCCTGGACAATTTAGGATCAGAGGGGATTAGGGTGTGGTCAAAGCCACACAGGACTATGGGGTATACTGGGCCATCCTATGGGGCCCCTTGCTTCTGGGCTGGAGAATGAACACAGGATGAGGCGGATCAGAGCATGGGTGGGGGCGAGGGAGACCTGTGGAGGACAGAGAAAGAAAAAAAATGTGACTCTGAGGGTGGGGAAACTCAAGAAGGACAGAAAAGCTGGCCAGCCTGTCCCCTGCAGTCTCCCCTCAACTCCCACTCAGCCGTGCTCCCATGGATGTTTTGGGGCAGTGGTGGCCTGGCTGTCTAAATTCTCAGTCCCAAATACAGCCAAACCCAACTCTTGCAGTGCCAGGGGCCCTGGCCTTGCAGCCACCTTTCTTCTCAGCAGTCTCCCCGGCCCTCCCAAACCAACGCTGCACTGGGGACCCTCCCTCCGGAAGCCACACCTGCTTCACCCTGCCCTCCATTTCCTTGCTCAGCGATCTGCTCTGGCCTGGCCTTTCCCTTCAGCTGTCCCTCGGTTCCCATCCCAACTTTCAGCTGCTGCAGCTGCCCCTGCCAGGGCCTGAAGTCCCAGTCTGGCCTAGGCACACTGCAATATGTTTTCCCAGAAGTGAGAACTCTCAATCCAGGAGGGAAACAGGAGCGAGTCCAGGACTCCAATCATCTGGGCAAAGACATTCCCTTGGAATCTGCACTATCACAATGGTTTATTATATCTGTAGCCATTTAAGGTATCAAATTCAAGTGGAGGGAGAAGAACTGACAAAGTAGGAGCTCATTCTTCACCTTCTTTCAGGCCCAGGGCTCAGTCCATCAGCTCTGCTTGGACTGCAGGGGGCTCACTGGGTGGCCTGCTCTGCAGGCTGCTGGGATGAACCCTCCTGTGGTTCCTGGACTTGGTGCAGGCTGGGGAAGGCCGCAGCCTCCTGCTGCCTGGCCTCTGGCATCTTACTCTCTGGTTTTGTCTCAGGCTGTGCCTCAGGTCCTGCTGCAGGCTTTGCCTCTTCCTTAGGCTCAGACTTGGTGGGAGTCTTCTTGCCAGAGGTAGGTTCAGGAGTCCGAGGGGGCTCAGTGCTCCGGGAGCTCTCCCCTAGGGCTGGGGCTGCAGAAGCTTGATTCAGTGCCTTGGGCTGCACCCAGCTGTGGCTGAGGATGTCATCTATTCGCAGTCGCCGGTGTACATCAGGATGCAGCATGTGATAGATGAGGTCTTTGCAATCGCTGGTCAGGTGCTTGGAGCGTGGGAAGTTGACGCGGTGCTCCTTCTGGAGGCGTAGCATTTTCTTGATGTTGGAGTCGTCATAGGGCATGGAGCCACAGACCATGATGTAGAGGATCACACCCAGGCTCCAGATGTCATACACTTTGGGCTGGTAGGGGATGCCCTGTAACACCTCAGGGGCTGCATATGCCGCTGACCCACAGAAGGTCTTACTAAGTGCTAGCTGACCACTGTCATCCCGCATGCAACGTTTAGAGAAGCCAAAATCTGACACTTTGATGTTATAGTCCTTGTCAAGAAGAAGGTTTTCACATTTGAGGTCTCTGTGGACAATGTCCAGGTCATGGCAGTACTTGATGGCTGAGGAGAGCTGCTGGAATTTCTTGCGTGCATCATCCTCTTGCAGGGCCCCCTGGGTTTTGATGAACTCGAGGAGGTCACCTTGAACCCCAAGCTCCATGACAATGTAGACTTTGCCCTGCGATGTCTCGAAGATCTCGTAGGTCTTGATGATGGAACGATGGTTTAGTATGGCCATAACCTCGATTTCCCGAGGAAGGAATTTCTCCAGGAAGTCTGTTGGGGCTTTCTTCCTATCAATGATCTTAACTGCTACATTGATCTTTAGGCGCTCAGAGTAAGCAGATTTGACTTTTGCATAGGAACCCTCTCCCAAATTTATGCCCATTATGTATCCACGACGCTTGAGGACAATGGTATCATCCATCATTCCAGAAGCACTGTGTGCCCCTGAGGTTGTGCCCTCTGTCATTGCAAAACCTGGGTCAACAGCGATCTCAAGTACACTGCAGATTCATAGCGTTCTGGGCTGGCTGTGCTTGTTGTCCCTGCTACTAAGAGACCAAGACTCTAGGATGGAACCTTCTGTATTGCCTCCCAAGTGACTTCAGGGCATGAAGTCACAAAGGAAGAACACACATGGGAAGAGGCTCTGGCCCAAGCCACTTGCACCTACAACCGTGGAAGGACTACCAGAAGGCTGGAGAAGAATGAAGGCCAGCAGAGTGGCCTTGTGCTTGGCTGGGACCTAAGGAAGTTGGGGACTCTAGCATACACAAAGGCCTGACCATGAATCCAAACCCAGAGCTAGGATTGCATGTGGAGGGGTAGGGGTGATGCCTGTGAACAAGATCATTCCAGGAAACACAGGGCTGGTAATCCTATGTTACCAATGAGTGTGTATGTGTGTGTGTGTGTGTGTGTGTGTGTGTGTGTGTGAGAGAGAGAGAGAAGAGAAAGAGACAGAGAGACAGAGACAGAGATTTGAGGCAGAGAGAGAAACAGAAGGTAAGTTTCATTGAGGACACACATAGATAGGAGCAGACTTGTGAGGAACCCCAGAAATTGTGCAGGTGCTATAAGTTAGTTAGGAAAAGTAGTATAAAAAAGGCCATGAGGACCACCCTGACAGAGGCAGTGACCTTGAGTGGTATAAAAAATCCAGGCTATGGTGATCCCATGGGGTGGCAAGGATGATGTCTCTGGCCTCTCCCCGCTCCTTCAGCTCCTGACAGTGTCCACGCAGGCAGCCTAAAGGGACACAGAGTAGGGCTGAGAAGGGAACAGGTGGGTTAGGAGGGTCAGAGACTCCTGGTGCAGCCACTGTTATAGCTTGGAAAGCGAGGACTTAGCATTCTTGCTGCCTGGGCTTTTCAATTCCCTGTAATTCTCTTTCCCCAAGACCTTTTCTGACCCACTTAGAGTGGCTTTATAGGGGACAACTGGCAGAAATTCTGTTGTTGGATATGAGTTTTCTCTTATGTCCTTGCCCAGGCCTTGGCTCTGGCTGGACTCTCAGGACAGGCCAAGAGCTGGGGGCAGAAGGCTGGGCCCACATGCTATCCTGAGACTGGCAGCTCCTTCTTGGAATGCTCTGTGAGGAGCAGACAGGACAGCAGAGGCCAGGGATCTTTGTAGTGTGTCTATAGTGAGATTTGTCTTCTCTGGGCCACATCCTGGGGAAGCTGAAGTCTCTGAAGATCTGGCTTAAACTTGGGTGTGAGCTTGGCCTGACCTAGAGCGTGGGCTGCCCTCCTTACCACTCCATGTGTCACAGGTTGGAATCCTGAGACCCTCAGGAGGACACTCAGAAGTGAATTAGTGGAAATGGAGATGAGTCAGACTGGGCTGGGTCCCCAACAACTCTGACCTTTCCCCTTTTTCTTGGCTTCTCTTCACTTTCATTTCCAACCCTGATTACCCAGTACCAGGTCCGTCTACATGACCAGTAGTCTGTCCCCTGGACAGCTGCTTCTCCTTCCCATCTGCTATGCCTCCATGATGCATGATGGGATGTCAGCACTGGAAGATTCTTTTCTGGAGATCGTAGCTTCATCTTCATCAAAGGTGGCCTCCGTTGCTCCTTCAGTGTGTGGGTGGATCCTTTCTCTCAGGGTAGCCACCTGCTCTACTTTCCAGGATCTGGGCTTCCCTGTGGCTGGCCTATGACAGTCCATTAGGCCATTTCTTCATCTGCTTCAGCTTTGTGTGGCAGTAAAGCTGAGGTAGCCTAGTTAGTTAGGAATGGGAACATGGAGTTTCTCAAGGACTCTTGCCATCACTGAATGATCCTTTGAAAATTATTAAATGTGACTTGTTTTCTTCCCTTAAGAAACACATAGCGATTCAGTGAAGCAATGGAACCTGGCCTTGTTCAGATGGACGTTGTGATTAGGCTTCTGGTAAACTTTCCACCCTGCCTGTTTCCTAAGTAATGACACCAAGCCCCTTTTACACTACACTTTAAGAGGTGAGTCTTTTCATGTTAATCTTTAAGAAGTAACCTTCCTAAGTTTTGAAGCATGTCTTATAAACCATAACTTTGTGATGGATCAGATCATTTTCCTTTCACATGGCAATACTATATATCAAAACTAAGATCAGTTGTATTTTGCAGTGCTCCATTCTATATATATATATATACATCTCAAGATACTGAAGACTCTTGTTCTGAGAAGCTGGTACTCTGTTGTCTGAGTGTATACTGCTAATTAAAGTGTCTATGGATGATTAATGATTTAAAAATGTCACTATGAAATATTTAGCCTCAAAATCAAAGGAGAAGAATAAGAAACATGAAAAAATGTGTTAGCATGAAACATGACTAAAAAGTTCTAATATATGCATTCCAGAAGGACAAGGAGAGAATCAGACAGATGATAGGACCACTTGAGCAGATAATGAACAAAATTCAAATTGGGCAGTAACAAGAAATATCTCAGTTTGGATCCAGAAAAGAAAACTTTGAAAGTTTGTACCCGATTAATTACATATTTGGAGCATCGGAAAGAATGAAGAAAACTTACTCAAATGAGCTTAGCAAAATTTCTAGATACAACACCTCTGAGAATTCATAGGCTTTCTATAGAGCAATAAACAATCAGAAAGTTAAATCTGACAAATACCATGTCCTGCCAAAAAATTGAATATATAGTAGTAAGGAAAGATGTTCAAAATGGATACACAGAAAATGAGAAACTAAAATGATTTTATCAAAGCTACATATCATGTTCATGAATTGAAAGATTAACTCCTGTACATATAATTTCTCCCTAAATTGATCTAGACATATGGAGAGCAATCCGAATTCTTACTTGTAGTGAAATTAGACAAGTCAACACCAGACTTGCTAAGAAAATTTAAAGGTTTCAAATAGTCAAGATGATTTGAGGAAGAACTACACAGCTGAAGGACTTCTATCAAACTACTCTACACATTAAAGCCGTGTGGGCGTGGCAAATGTTCAAAGACTGCTGGTGGAGTTAAAAACTGGCAGTAACTGGTAAAGTTGAACATAAGCTTATCCAGTTCTCAGGAAGTCCTCTCCTCGTTATTCCAAATTCATGCATGAAACCCTCTGTAATACCATTATATATAGTACTCCCAAACCAGACACAATACAGATATCCATTATCAGCAGAATGCATAAAAATGTTGCATTCCTAAAATATGTCATACAGCAGGAGGAGGCAAAGTTTATTAAAAATCCAGTAAGACATACTCAGACTCTGTGCGTAAGGTATCCTGTCACAGCAACTCTGCTGGTGTAGGGTGAAAGCAAAGTTAATATGTAAAAAATAGGCAGAAGTATGGAGCTGTGCTTCGAGAAAACTTTGGCATGTAGCAATATAAATGAATAAATTACTACCACACAGAACACAGGTGAATCTTGCAACATAATATTAAGCAAAAGAAGGCAAACTCAAGTGCATCTTGAAAGGTGGAGGGGAAAATTGCCTTGGGCATAAGGAAGGTTTCTTGGATGCTATTGATTTTCTATTTAGTGACCTAGGTTACAGCCGAAAAGTGTTGGCTGTGTGGTCATTAATTGACACATACTGTGTAGCTAGTTTTAATAAATAGCTTTATTAAAGAATAGTTAAAGCACTAAAAGATGATTCAAAGACAATCTAAAATACCTTGCTTTAAAGAAAGCAAAAAAGTTACCTAATAACATCAAAGGATCTATTTCATGTTGTACTTTGGGGATCGTTTGATTTTACTTTGTATGTGAATAGGATACTTAGCAACATTATGTGGATGTTGTCTACTGAGAGATGAAACTGAAGTCATGTTTGAGTTAAGTATGGAGGTATAATGAAATCTTTGTGCATAGCCTTTGCTACTTGTGATTCTAGTCACATTCGAGTTTTACCTTAAGGGTGGCTGGATGGAAGGGTGTGGAAGTGTGGGTTAGATCTGGTAATGATTGATAATGTTGTATCAATTTGAGAATCTATAAGTTTAACTAAGAAACCCAGCAGCTTTACATCCTTGGGTGTGGAGGACAAGCCCTTACCACCTAGGATGTTTTCACTGTGTTGATTTGAGAAGTTAAGAAGTTTACCTAAGTGATTCAGCAGGGGGTCAGGGTCCTTACTTTGTGAATATCCTCAACCTGTGCAAGAGGAGGGTACAGAGATAGTGTGGGGTGAGAGACCCCCACCAGGGGTGGTAGCTTTCATACAGTAAAGGAAAATGAGGAAGGACTAATTAGTGGTTCTTTGGAGGGGCTCTAGTCTTTGCTTCCAGCCCAGATGTTGTTTCCTGGCCTCTGATGCAGACAGTTTGGCTTCCGCCTGAAACTCTTCATCCTTCTGGAACAGATTCTTCAGCATTCTGCTGCACACCTATCAGCCTCCTGATACAGACTTGCACAAAACCCTGCGGTGAGTTCCAGACCTTGGACTGGACTCTTCAGCCTCCAACACACAGACACCCTCTAAACACTTCCTAATCTGGCTCTGTGGCTGACCATCGTAAGCCAATCTTGTAATTTCTTATACTGTGTATCTTGTGTTATATCTGTTTCTCTAGTAAAACCTGACTTACACGAATGGGTAGGGGATGATCAATGACAGACTGGATTATCTGGTATCTTTTTTCTTTTACTGTTCTAGTCTTCTTCCATCTTATTGTGGTCTCTCCATTTATCTCTCTCATTTTCCAAAACCCAACTATGATCCTCTGGCCCTGGGAGACCACAGAAAATTAAGGATTCATGTACTCATTCATGCAGCAAATCTTTTTTCAGCATTTCCTGTCTGACAGCACTATTTTAGGTGCTGGGAGGACCACAGCAACTCAAGTGAAACCTCTTCCCCTGGAGAATTCACAGGTTATTGGATTGTAACATATACTGCCTTTTCAGAGGAGGAAATTAGATAAGGGTACTGTTATTTTAGGAAAATGTTTGGATCTTAGACATCTTCTCTAAGCATCAGCATAATACACCATTATTGCTTAATGGGGGAAGAATTACAAAACAAAAAAATAGAGAATAGGATGGCTGCTTTCCTTCCTCCTTTCTTTGCTTTTTTGAGCAGTCTATTTTTCAGAGCAGTTTTACGTTCACAGCAAATTTGACCCAGGTATTCAGAGATTTGCCATAAATTCCCACTCAGGAACTCCCACTCATGAGCAGCCTCTTCCATTAACAGCGTCTCCTACCAGATTGATATATTTGCCAAAACTGATACGTTCTCACTGACATGTTATTATCCTCAACTTTTCATTCATTTCTTTATTCATTCATTCAACACATTTGATTGCTTGTTCAATGTCTGTCATTACAATTCTCCCTTGTTTCTTACAATCTTTTCTTTATTTCTCTTTTTTCTCCTTTTCTTTTAAAGTGACCATCTTTATCCTAATTCTTTTAAGGAAGAAATAGGAATTTCTCACCACCCACCCACAAGATAGAGTGACATTAACATACTGATGTATAAATTATCTCAGATATTTTTTAAAATGATAAGCTATTATATGTCTAGTTTTTAAAACTGACATAACTTTTATGTTACTCAGATATCGTAAGCATTTTTCTATGTCAAAAATATGTGTCTACCTCATTTTGTTAAAATGTATGTGGAATTTCATTTTTATAACTTTAATTTTTAAGTAGTCCCCTGTTGGTGAACACAATGATCCCAACTTATGTGGTTATGACCAAACATGTATGTCGTCATGAAACTTTTCATGGGCAAATATTTATACTATAAAGTAGAATGCTTATTACATAATAGGTACTTAGTAAAGGTTTAGTAACTATTTCCAGTTTTACCTTTAATGGGTGCTATTAGTCGATGTAGAAGAATCAGCAGGAGAGAGAAGAGGGCTGTGGAGAACCATGAGAAGGGAGGTGGGGCTTTGCAGAGTTAGAGCTCGTTGGACTCTGGGGCAGAGAGATTCCCAGTTGTTACAGCTTTGAACAGGTGCTCCAAAACAGAGACCCTGTGATTCAGGAGTTGACAAAAATAACCCATTATGTTTTTAAGAAGTAGCCTGTAGAATGCTCTCCTCAACTATTGAAGTTCCAAAAATTGTTTATGTTTATCTACACCAAAAAAGTAAACTCTTGTAACTGGCTTGAAGACCAGACAGGAAGTCCTATAAGGATAAAAGGTATGAAGAGTGATAAGAAAGACCTTAAAGGAGAGTATGATGAAGATATTCTGATAGAGAATGAGAGGTTCAGCAATACCTTAGAACAGACTTCAGAGGAGGAAAGATTTTTTTCCCTTTTGATAACCTCAGTCTTTTCTCAAGCAAGCTAGAAGTTTTCACTGACCTTTCTTAATTGCTTATTAAAACATATAAATATGAAAAATCGGGTGCCTATGTCTGTGAACATAAGCCCTGTGTTATCAATTTCACTGTCAATTGAAAGAATGCCTGATTCCTTCCTCTAGGGCTCTTCCTCTACTCTCTGTTACTAGATGTCATGACTTGAACAACTTTTCCATGCTATGCACTTCAACCAACTTATTTTAGCCTTTGTTCCAGCCAACTATGACCTAAAATTCTGAAAACTATGAGCAAAAACAAAGTTCTTCTCTTTTAAATTGTAGATGTCAGGCATTTTGTCCCATTAACCAAAAACTGACTAATACTTACACCTAGTATAATGTCAATTAAAAAACTGTTATGTTAGATTCTTTAGGGAATAATAAAAAAAGTAAGTTGGTAGAGATTCCACACAGGTGTAGGTTTTTAACTGTTTTTCACCTGTGGTTGGTTAAATCTACAGAGGAAGAACCCATGAATGTGAATTATATTAAACTCTATATGCAAAGAGTTTGATGAGAGGCCCTTGGAACTTGATTCAATTGATAAGCATCTACTAAGCACTTTTCTAAGTGCCATACACTGCTCTAGGGAGGTAATGGAGACATTTGGATGACATAGACAAGATTCCTGTTCTCAGAATGGGCAGAGTCTAGTGACATGCAGTACCGTCACTTGGAGGAATAACTGTATGGCAGTGTTTGCAAAAAAGAAGATGGATTTAAAGGAGATGGAGTAAAAGAAGAGATATAAATGCTCCAGGTAGAAGAATTGGAGCAATAGGAATGCAGAAGAATGTTGAGGCTTTTGTGAGTTCACCTCTGGAAAGGAAAGAATGGAGAGACCTGAAACCCAAGGGAATATTATGCTGTGTTAATGACAGTGCACTTTATGAAATAAAGATTGGATAGACAACAATAGCGTTCTCTACTGCTATCAGCAGACAAACACTGCCCTTGATTATGAAGCCCTCAGTGAGTGATCTTGCTTGACTGAGGGCTCCACAGTTGCTTTAGTCATCTAACTATCCACTTTGGCCACTTTCTTTTCCTCTCTCTTTCTCTCTGGACAACCTCCTAGGGGCCAGAGCAACAACATCTCATCCATCTGTCTCTAGCAGAACACAAAATGCTGTTCTCCTCCACCAGGCTTGGATCTACTGGTGGCTTTGTTGGTCCCTGGGCAGGTACCACTGTCTCCAAGGATGCCAGCTTTTCAGGGAGTTTTCTGCACACTTCAGAGAAGCTGCTTGAAATTGGTAGGTTAACCCCAAGATCAATGAGACCCACTAGGTAGGGTGACCATGACCAAGTGATCTTCGTGCGGAAGAATGCGGAGTGTGTGCGAGGGATGTGTTGGGCAGCACAGATTCCTCTCATAAGTGGAGTGGGAGTCAGCACCATTCAGCCCCACCATCCACAAGTATAGTTTCAGTGTAGCACAGCCTTCCTCCCCCCCCCCAAGAGTAAATAATTTGGATCTTAGACATATAAAGGCCTTCAAATGTCAACACATTTCTAATCCAGTACAATTAGTCTCCTCTTGCTCATTGAAAAAACATATTTTCAATTTAAAAAATCCTACTAACATGTTGAGTAGCATCTAATTCCATGTATGGAATTAGGAAGCGATTAACAGATTTTGTTTGTTTGTTTAGAGTATGACCTAAAATCATGTTTACAGCTTTCTCTTTACTCAGATATTGTGTCCTTCAGTAATGTGGGCAAGTTTTCTTGCTCTCCTCTCTTCTGCCCGTCCTTAATTTCTTTCCTTCTTCTCATCTCCTTTTCTGTCTCGTCTTCATTCTATCATCTTTTCACAATCTCTTTCTTTTCACCTTTTCTTCCTTCTCTCCTCCTGTTCCTCCTTCCTTCCCTCCTTTTCTAAGTCTTTCCTGTTTCTCTCCCTGTTCCTTGCTCATTATCTTTATTTTTATCTACTGTAGATGAGATCTTTTCTTCTTGGGTTTTATTAAATTTTTTTTTTTATTTTAAAGAGGGTAAAATTAAACAGAACAAAACAGATCAGAAGAAAACAATGTAAGAGGCACAGATTTCAAAGCAAGACAACAGAAAATCTTCACTGTCTATCATATTGTTTCTTGTTTTCTTCTAGTTTATCATATCTTCACACACAGTGAATTCATACAAAACAAAATGGATGCTGAAGGCATTTTAGGTCTTCAAGACCAAACAATAAGGAAGTCAACAATGACTGTCATAATGTATCTCATTCTCTTCAAAATAGCTGTCCATATTCATGTATGTTGAAATTAAACAATACAAAACAGACTAAAATCACTCTGAACAAAGAATAATAGTATTGCTGGATTTCACATCATGGCACTACAGAATCAGCACTGGGCACCGTAGTGTCTTTTTCTTCAAATGGGTTAGTTGTGTTCTAAAAGAAAATTCAAGTAATTTGAAACATGTTTTAAAAACTATACATACAAAGAGTGTATACACAACACAGGGAAGTCTTAAACAACTATAGTAAAGTGAACATCCCTTTCCTGTATGGGATTCAGGAACAGAAAATGCTCGCCTGTCTAAAGCTTATCCTGTTTCCTTTCATGAATGCAATTCCCTTCCTTCTGCCTCTTTCTAGGAAACTATTGATCAGGAAAACTGTTGATTACTTCCAGAGACAGAGACAGAGACAGAGACAGAGACAGAGACAGAGACAGACAGATAAGAGACAGAGAGAATGAGAATTGATTCCTGAGGAAAGTGACCGTGTCTTGGGCTGAGAGCATAACGGAACTGGAGCGTTGGAAATGATGATTTCAGTGCATGACAGTTACACACAACCTCTTCTGTGCGTGTTGTCATTGGATTCGTTTCCTTCCTACTTCTGCTTATGACTGACCTGTGATTTCCCTTTTTCTGGGTCTATAACTTAAAGGAATCTACAAGCAGACAATGGGAGGTGCCTCTAATCCAAACCCTAGAAAGATATTCAACTCCCTCTCTCACCTATTCTTTCGGTTTACCCTCCAGGTTTCTTTTATCGGGCAGGATTTTAGGGAGCCAAAATACACTCCATGCCACTCTCTTAGCACCATTGCGCAGGCGCACGACCTTCATGGGCGGGGCTCGGGCGGTGGCGCTATGGGGCTACGGATTGGCCAGTCTCAAGGCTGCCGGTTGGCCCTGACTCTGCGTTTGCGCATGATCCTAAACTGGGCGGGAGAGAACGAAGTTCAAACTCCTTCCTGGGTGTCCGGAATTTGAAACCGAGGGTCATGGAGAATTACCAAGATTTGGCAGAAGCTGAGTGCTTGAGCTCAGAGCAGGCTGCCCGTTATATGAGATATGTGAAAGAGGCCAAAGAAGCAACAAAGAGTGGAGATCTGGAGGGAGCACTCAAATTTTTCACTTTGGCAAAGAGCATTTTTCCCAATAAAAAGCTGATGAGCAGAATCCAAAAAGTACAGGAAGCCTGGGAGGAGTTGGAAGAACATGAAGATGATGAATTTGTAGAAGTGTGCAACTCTGGGCTGCTGCTTTATCGAGAACTGTATAACCAACTGTTTGAGCACCAGAAGGAAGGTGTGGCTTTCCTCTACAGCCTTTACAGGGATGGGAGAAAAGGGGGTGTCTTGGCAGATGACATGGGATTGGGGAAAACTGTTCAAATCATTGCTTTCCTTTCTGGTATGTTTGATGCTTCGCTTGTGACTCATGTGCTGTTGATAATGCCTACCAACCTCATCAGCATGTGGGTGAAAGAATTTGCCAAGTGGACCCCAGGAATGAGAGCCAAAACCTTTCATGGCCCTAGCAAGGGTGAACGTACCAGGAGTCTCCTCCGGGTTCAGCAAAAGACTGGTGTCCTTATTACCACCTACCAAATGTTAATCAACAATTGGCAGCAGCTTTCCAGCTTTAATGGCCAAGCGTTTGTGTGGGACTATGTCATCCTTGATGAAGCACATAAAATAAAGAGCTCATCTACTAAGTCAGCAACATATGCTCGTGCTGTCCCTGCAAGTAATCGCCTCCTCCTCACAGGGACCCCCATCCAGAATAACTTACAAGAATTATGGTCCCTGTTCGATTTTGCTTGCCAAGGTTCCCTGTTAGGAACATTAAAAACTTTTAAAATGGAGTATGAAACTCCTATTGTTAGAGGAAGAGAGAAGGATGCTACTTCAGGGGAAAAAGCCTTGGGACTTAAGATGTCTGAAAATTTGATGGAAATCATAAAACCTTATTTTCTCAGGAGAACTAAAGAAGAAATTCAGAAGAATAGGCTGAACATCCCAGAGGTTGGACCCACTGAAAAGAACCTAGGTGTTGACACCATCTACAGAATGCCTTCTCTTTCCAGGAAAAACGATTTAATCATTTGGATACGTCTTGTACCTTTACAAGAAGAAATATACAAGAAATTTGTGTCTTTGGATTATATCAAGGAGTTGTTAATGGAGACACACTCGCCTTTGGCCGAGCTAGGAGTCTTAAAGAAGCTGTGTGATCATCCCAGGCTGCTGTCAGCACGGGCTTGTCGTTTGCTGCATCTAGAGGCTATCAAAATCTCTGCTCAAGATGAAAATGAGGAAGATTCCTCAGATGTGGACAACCTTGCTCATGCAACTGATACTACACTGATGGAAGAATCTGGAAAAATGTTATTTTTAATCAGCCTGCTGAAGAGACTTCGAGATGAAGGGCATCAAACTCTAGTTTTTTCACAGTCAAGACAAATTCTAAACATCATTGAACGCCTTCTAAAGAATAAACACTTTAAGATACTGCGAATTGATGGCACTGTCACCCATCTTTTGGAACGAGAAAAAAGGATTAGTTTATTCCAGCAAAATAAAGATTACTCTGTATTTCTGCTTACTACTCAAGTAGGTGGTGCTGGGTTAACATTAACAGCAGCAACTAGAGTGGTCATTTTTGACCCTAGCTGGAACCCTGCAACTGATGCTCAAGCTGTGGATAGGGTTTACCGAATTGGACAAAAAGAAAATGTTGTAGTTTATAGGTTAATCACTTGTGGGACTGTAGAAGAGAAAATATACAGAAGACAGATTTTCAAGGACTCATTAATCAGACAAACTACTGGTGATAAAAAGAACCCATTCCGCTATTTCAGTAAACAAGATTTAAGAGAGCTCTTTACAGTTGAGGATCTCCAGAACTCTGCAACCCAGCTGCAACTTCAGTCTCTGCATGCTGCTCAGAGGAGGTCTGATAAAAACCTAGATGAACACATTACCTACCTACAGTCTCTGGGAATTGCTGGAATCTCAGATCATGACTTGATACATACAGGTGATCTGTCTGCTAAAGAAGAGCTTGATGTGATAGAAGAATCTCAGTATATTCAACAAAGAGCTCAGAAAGCTCAATTTCTTGTTGAATTTGAGTCTCAAAATACAATGGAAAAACGAAGAACTGGAAAAGAGGGAGCCTGGCCAACAGAACCCTTGTTTCCTTCTCAAAAAAAGAAGAAATGCCTTGAATTAAAGAAATTAGAGCCTTGGCCTTTGCCTCTTACAACTACTGATCCTACCCAGGAAGGAGATATCAATTTTCAAATGGCAAACATGAGCATTGATGATCAAGACCTCTCCAATGTGAAGCTAAATATGACCATGTTACAAGATAGTATGCACCCACATGAAAATTCATTTAATCCTGACTCTGTAGCTGCTTTATGCAAGGAGTTTGAAAATGTAGAAGAAATTTGGGCTGCCTCATTACTGGGAACCACAAAAAGCCTTATAGTTGAGAACAAAGCTCTGCAAAAAAGGACTTCCCAAGAAAAGCCTGAACAAGAGGCACTGCAGAAGAACCCCTTGGGTAGTTTTAATTACTTAACTCTCCAATCAACCGAAGTTGATCTTGCACCAACTTTAGATCTACAGGATGATGAGATTTTATATCATGGTAATCCGTGGCCCAGCAATTCTATAACAAGTAAAAATCAAAATACAAAATTGAGTACTTCCATTATTGAACTATCTGACGAATTGTCAGCATCCCATAGTGCACTGCGGGATGCCCAAGCAAGTGAGGCCAAGTCAGAAAGAGAGCCTTTAGCATCTTTACCACAGTATGCATGTGATTTCAATCTTTTCCTGGAAGACTCTGCAGACAATAGACAAAATCTCTCCACTCAGACTTTGGAGTGTGTTGAGAAAAAATCTAGCTTGTGTGTCTCTGTAGCTAATTCAAGTGCAGAGTCTTTGCATAGCACAGCATGTCACCATTTGGATTTTTCTAAGAAAGGCAATGAACCAGAAGAAGAGGTTGTTAATGTTAAAACCAGAAGGAAAGCTAGAAGGATCATTTCAGATGATGAAGATGAGGATGATTCTCTAGCAGGTGCTTCAAGCACAAATCTGTTTAGCACATCTCTCCTTCCTTTGTCATCTGTAAAACAATTTGATGCTTCGACTCCCAAAGATAACAGTCTACCCAGAACATTCTTTTCACCTAACATAGCTGGCAGTGTAAATAAATATATGAATGCAAGGCGATCGCTGGCTTCTAGAAGTTCTCTGATTAATGTGGTTTTAGAACACGTGGAGGATATGGAAGAAAGACTTGACAACACTGATAAAGCAGAGGGCACCCTGGATGACCTAGAGGAAGGAGCCAAAGAAAACAGTGATGAGGCCTCAGAGCGTACAGAGGATCCTTCTGGAGAAGGACTGTCTTCAGAACATAAGTCTGGTGGGCTAATGATGTCTAAGCCATTAGGCTGTAGTCCACCAACCCCCTTTTCGGATGCTGACCCTTTCTCTGCAGAACCATTGATTGACTCTCCCCAGGGTAAGTCAGTGGAGGCTGAAAATGACTATGAGACTCTTATAACTCATGGAAAAGAACTGAAAGAGCATGGAAAGATACAGGAAGCCTTAAACTGCTTGGTTAAAGCCCTTGACATAAAAAGTTCCGATCCTGAAGTCATGCTCATGACTTTAAATTTGTATAAGCAACTTAGGAACACTTGAAAATGCTGTAACCTGTTTTTTGTGTTGGGGAGAAAGGTTTTATTTTCAGATATAAAGTCCTTCTGTGTATCCCAGACTGGCCACAAACTCTCAAACTGCCTTTAGTCTCCTGAGTGCTGGGATTAAAGGTGTATACAACTGTAATCTGTTTATTATATTTTTAAAATGCAACTGAATTTGAGTGGATTTTTGTTTCCATAATTGTGTTCTTTAGCAGCATGAGTGATTTGTGCATAAGGTAAGAAAGATCTCATAAAGCAACTTCTGCCTCTGTCTCTTAGCTCCTACTCAATCTCTCCCAACATACTGTTTTCTGAATGTTAGGTTAATATTTCTTCACTTGAATATTCTTAATATTTCTTTTAAGTGTAGTCTATAAACATAAGAGAATTACCTATGTGTGGGTTTTTGATTTTTTTTTTTAACTTGGGATACTAGAGATTGAACTTGTTTTATTTTTTATGTTGAAACAAGGTCTCATTAAGTTCCTATGTGTCAAAATTAGGCTCAAACTTTCCATCTGCCTTACCCTCCCACCTCATTCTCTGTAAGTTCTGTGATTATATGTATACACTACCACTCCCCACCTGAAGTTTGTTGTAAAGTTATTCTAGCTATTTTTTCTGAAAGAGGTTAGCTTTGTATATCATAATTCATATAATAAAATTGAAGTTCCTTTTCTCAGTGTGAAAAAAACCACCAAACAATCTTAAGGACAACGTTAGTGTTATGGGCAGAAGAATATAAGGGTGAGGAATTCTGTTAGGCACAATGAAAGAAAAGTCCTTCTTATAGCTTAACTTACTGAAGCTGGGGACCACCTGCAGAGAACTGGTCCTAAGGACTCACAGTTACTGCCTAGAATATCCACTCAATTATCCTGTCTCAAGATTTTTTAGATGTATAATTCTAAGCAGGTGCTTTTGTAAATAAAGCTGTTAGTAGTTTCTTTCTCTTCAGTAGAAAGGATCTGATGTATGTCTCTAGCAGACTAGGAGTGGCCACATCTAGATTGCTCATGAGTCAAGTCTAGGATAAGCTAAGGAAGGAGTAAGCAGTGTAGACAGAACCTGCATAGTTTCTCCCATCTGTTTTGCCACATTATGAAGCAGTTCAGGAACTTCTCATGTGTCTTCTTGAACTGTGATAAAAAAAACATTCAGTGATTGCTGCTGCTAAGTGCCACACAATGGAGAGGCAGATGCATTGGTTACTTTTCTCTCAATGCTGAGACAAAATACTTGATAGCTAAAATGAGAGAAAAAAAAGGGTTATTTAGCTTACAGTTTGTGGAGGTTTTGGTTCATGAACTGACTCCAAGGCAAGGTGGTGAGGTGGGTGGCAACAGCTCAAGGTGGCAAAAGACATCGAAGCAACAAGAGCAGAAAGGGGTGCATGCCTGTTTTCCTCTCTTATATGGTAAACATGCTAAGCCCTCTAGGGTGGAAGTAGCACTCACACCATATCCATGCCCTCCTCTTGCACAAGATGAGGATATTTACAAAGTGAGGACCCTGACCCCCTGCTGAGTCACCTAGTCAAACTTCTAAATTTCTCAAGTTGACCCACTGTAACAACTACTACAATCCACCCCTTGTCAACTTGGCAACCAGACACATTTCTTTAGACCACTTTCTAGATACAAAGACATGCTTATTTTTATCACTTCACAACTTGGACATCATAACACAGGTTTAAAAATCCTTAAGAATCAGTATTAAGTCTATCAACATATTACATTAGAACCATAACTTTTCTCTGCGGGTCCCCCAAAGACTCATGCACATCCTTTTATGCAAAAGGCATTTAGTCCATCTCTAAAAGTTGATGAAGTCCTAACAATTTCTATATTAGTGAAAGGTGCATGTCCTCAGCCTCCTCTGAGATGTAAGACAAACTCTTAACTGCAAGTCCCTGTACAAATGAAAAGTTTAAACATTTTCAGTATTCCATGGTACAAGATAAACGTTTTTATTCCAAAAGTTACAAATGGGAACAGAAAGGATTGGGATCAAAGCAAGTCCAAAATCCAGGACAAACATTAAGTCATATAGTTCCCTGTGCAGCATCTGAGGCAATCTGTGGCAAATTGTGATCTCCAAAGGGCTTGAGTAACTCCCCTCTACAGCACTTCTGGTGGCTGTAGCTCTCACAGTTTCTCTTAAGCCTGCTCTGCTCCCTCCTCGCAGCTTTCCTTAAATGATCTACATTCCTGGCTTTTGCAAGCCTTTGGAGTCTCCACTGCATCTAAGTTTCACACTCATAGATTCACACCCTGCCCTCTCAATGGCACACTTCCTGGCCTCCCAGGCATTCTGAAATCGAAGTGGAAGCCTTTTTAAACTCATAACTCTTGCCTTCTACATGCAGCTAAAGCCAGCACCACGTGGATGATGCCATTGTCAGCTGGGGAAGTAGCCTGGCTTTCCTTTCTCTTGGCTGTAGGTATGGAATGCCTGGATCACTGGACACTGAATCTAATTCTGAGAAATAAATTTTCTATACGGCCACCATTCTGAGACATGGTGCTCTGTGGCTTTCCACTCAAAGCAAAGTCTTTCACTTTTGCAGTTATGAGGCTGTAAAGCATAGACACTTGATATTTCTTGTGATGCCCTCAAATCATCTTTTCTATTTTCCTGTTCCTTCTTGGCAATCAAGATCTCCTCAGCTCTATATTTGTAGTCCACAGCTTTACTGATGCTTCCTGTCTGACCAAACTCAAATTTCAAATCGTTCTGCTGGGCTTGCTCATGATTCTCAACATAGATCTGGCTAAAAGCCCCAAAGAGTAATCATGCTACCACCTCAATATTAGATTGCCTTGAAATTTCTTCTACCAGATTTATTAGTCCACTGCTGTTAATCTCATTTCAGGAAAAATATCGGGACATGAGCAAAATGAAGACAACTTTTTGGCAAGCTATAACACACATTATCTGGAGGTCAACAGCCAATGCAGTCTTTTTTCAGCAAAAACTTCCTGAGCCTGGACTTTACCGGCAGTATTCCTAGCAGCATTCTGATCTTCTGAACTCTGACCAGGATCTACCATAGAGAACAGCCTAAGCCATTCCAGCTGTATTTTTCCAGCTGGCATCTCCCAACCTTTCCAAACTCTTCCCTCAAGCCATTCCCAAGACTCTTGAATCATATGGTCAGGTAGAGTTGCAGCAATGAGCCCACTTCTGTGGTATCAAATTCTGTGTACAATATAAGGGAGGAAAAGAGTTGCTTTCTCCTTTGATATCACGGCTTTTACTGCCTTTTGCCACTTTAAAGCATTGCCCTTGTGCCATGCCAACCTACATTTCATGGACTGAAACCTCCACAGACCGTGAGCTTGATAAACTTTTTCCTCCCTTAATTTAGGGCATTGGACGTTTTATCTTAGCAATGACAGAAGAGTACCCAAGATAACAGACTTGTAGAAGCATTACAGGTTGTTCTCATCCACCCAACTCATGAGGTCTGGCAACATGTAACTTATGGCTCTTCTCCTAAGTCAAAATGACCATTATAGGCAAATATTTTGAACAGATTCAGGACACCAAGCCCGCAATAAGGCACTACTGAAGACACAAAAGTACACTTCAATAACTGCTTCAGAAAGTAGCAAGAATGGTGTGGTAAGTCTGTTTAAAGACAAGAGGCATATTTTAAGGGGGGTTAATGGCAATGTATCTCTTATTGTAATTTTTAAAATTTAAACATTTTTCTATCAGATCTTTTATTTATTGATTCATAAAATAGAGGTTCTTCTTATCCACCATATGTCTGGAGCACTCTGATTTCTCTTCAGCTTCCCTCTCTCACTTCTACTTTCCTGTTTTTGTTATCTGTACTGCATTTATATTTTTAAAATCACCCTCAAGTGAAACTATTTGCCATAAAGAGGTTGTTATCTTTTCCCCTTTCCAGGGCCTGGCAACCACACATCTGCTCTCAAAATTTAAGAAGTTTCCTGTTGTTTTATTTCGTATACAGGAAATCATATAATATGGAGCTTTTTGTACATATCATATAATATGTCTCATATAATACATCATAGTATGCATCAGCCTTCATTTTGTTAGCTGAGAAATAAGAAACTCTATGACTGTCATGTCTTGTCTGTTCGGTCACATGTTGATGAACATTTGAGTTGTTGCCACTTGGCTGTTGTGAATTTTGCTGCAGTGAACACATTTAGGGACAAGATTTCGTATGCACGTATGTTTAAAATTTTTTAGATGTATATCTAAGATTGCTTGGTCTTAGGGCAGCTGAGTCTTAAACTTGAAGAACCACTTACCTATTTTGGGCACTGTTATTTTTGTATTTTCATCATATTCATAACTTTTTTTAGTTTTTGATTTATAGATTGATCTTAAAAGTTGAAAACCAATAACATGGGTCTCAGTGTGGCCGAGTTAAATTGCTCGATGAGGGACCACCCTCATTTATTACTTTGCCTTCTCCACTCCTATTAAAAAGATGTTATCATCTGTTTCTTGAATTATTTATTTGGGATAGTCATTTTTCTCTACTTACCCTTGTCTATATCTTTTCACTGGAGGATTGTCTCAAATGTTGGCATGTCCGGGTGGTTAATTTGTACTTAAGACTGTGATGTCCTTGTGGGTTTCCCTACATAAACAGGACTTGTCACCTGTTACCCTGTGCTTTAGAGTGGCTAGGGGGTTAGCAGGGAAAAAAAAACCAGAAGGAAGGCTTCATATTCCATCTTCCATTGAGCTCATTTTGTGGCAATAGCAAAGTGATGTGGTGTCTTCTGTGTCTGTTCTGTTAATCATTTTACTTAAAGCAGACGTTTTCAGCCTACAAACCATCATCACTTAGGTTTTTCAGTCTCCCCACTGTTGCCTTCCCATAGCCGTACCCCATCCTGGCGGTCATGGACTCCTGTCATTCAGATGCTCTGCTGCTTCCCTTAACCATCTTTCCTCTGTTCTGCCTTTCAGAAGCTTATCAGCACCTCTAGATCACTGACAACCCTTCGCTAATTCTTTGTACTTTTGTATTTACACCATAAACTTTATGACTCTCATTTTGCGAGGACTCAGAGAGGAGAT